ATGCCTTGGCCCTTTCATTATTGGCTGCTATTTCCCGATGGATATCAAATGGTACAATACCGGCTAAATAATGTAATTTCTCCAGTGGTGTTGGGGGTAGGCATCCTGTGATAATGCGGCATGTCTCATAAAGAGCCACATTCACTGTTTTAACAGGGTGAGATATATTCCACACTGGGCATTCAGCAGCAGAGTAGCAAAGAACAAGGGCAGATGTGTCTAGTTGTGATTCCCTGGTTCATATTTTATTTCTAGCAACCACTTTTTGCTTAATAGTCATGCAGTGCTTCTTATAAGTCAGAGCATGATCCAGAGAAATTTCCCGGTATTTTGGTGTGCTGCAATACTCCAGTGGGATTCCTTACCAGGTAATTATCAGGGCTTGAGATGCTTGTCTGTTCTTAAGATGAAATGCATGTGTCTGTGTTTTAGACAGATGAGGAATCAGCTGGTTTTCCCTGTAATAGACATTAATTGCACATAAAGCTTTAGAGAGCTTCTGTTCAACCATTTCAAAGCTCCCTGCTTGAGTGGTGATGGCACAATCATCAGCATAGATGAAACTCTCTGTCCCTTCTGGTAGTGGCTGGTAATTTGTGTAAATGTTAAACACTGATGGAGCAAGCATGCTTCCCTGAGGCAGGCCCTTCTTCTGTTTTTGCCATCTGCTTCTCTGATCCTGGAACTCAACAAAAACGTTCCTGTTTGTAGTATATTTCTTATGAAGCGGGTGAGGAGGTAGTCCTTGGTGATATTATAAATTTTTCTCAGGAGAAGGCAAAGATTTCCAGTATCATATGCTGCTGACAGGTCTATGAAGACAGCTGTCTTCATAGACCTGACTCGTAGTTAAGAATAGGGGTTAGACCAACAGCAAGTGAGAGAAACCTATCCCTCAGAAGGGAAATTCATTCTTGAAAGGGTTGTTATACGGAAACATGTCCCACTGAAGCTTTCTCACCAATCTGTGTTTCCACAACAAGCCAAAATTTTCAAACTCGAATTATTTTATCCAAAACGAATACTAATACATATACATGTACATATATACACATACATATATGGCTGGAGTTACACTTTAAAAAGGACTTGTTCCGACTTACACACAAATTCAACTTAAGAACAAACTTACAGAATCTATCTTGTTCTTAACTTGGGGACTGCCTGTACCTAAATCTTGGCTATTTAGAACATATGTTTGACACTCCTCACACAATTCTGTTCGACAACTGAGCTTCTGGCTCTATGTTACCACATCCATTGATTTCCAACTATGTCCAGGACAGCCTTTGACATGGTGCCAGAAAACATTTTATTATTTAATTTTGGATTTTCAATACAGCTTGGCATCATTTTGAAAATAAAAACCAAACTGTCACAAATCAGCTCTTTTATAATATATATATATATATATAATTTTAATATTTAAGCGCAATCAAAAACCAACATCTGGAATGATATCTCCTGGTAGCCGCTATTGTGATATTTTTCCTCGTCAGTTCCTAATAATGAACTGTAGTATTTGCAGTCACAATTCATCAGCAGCAACTATTTATCACTAAAAATGTTTCTACGGCGTAGCTGATTCTTTCCTGAAAAAGTGTTGTTTACCCTTTCTGAAATGTAACAAAAAGTCTCACAAAGAAATTCTTAAGGACCCATTTTCCTAATCTCCAAACAAAACCAAACCCACAGGCATTTTACATCAATTTACATTCACTTTTGCTACAAATTTATTACAAACTCCACAGGCTTTTGTTATACTCAGCCAAACAGATTGTATAGCTTACACTACAGACTGCCAGTGAGAGGCAAATACCATGGAATTTACTCCCCACTGATAATGTATAGTAAAAACTATGCAATTTGCTTGTGTAAAAAGTAAGATGTTCTTACCTGCCTCTACATGTAAAAGTCTCCCAATATTTTTCAAAAACAACAACTTTAATGCTTTCACTACAAATAGAAAATGAAGGCGCAACCAGAAGTGGTCCAAGTTTGCTTTTTACCAGTTGTCAAAGATAACCTGCTGATGTAGCATGGACAACATGCATTAAATGAAGACACCCAGTCAGGTCTGAAACAGCCAACCTTTCTTAATAAACTAAATAGAGGCAGCTATTTTCCAGGAAGTTTCGATTCTGCAGCTGAAGTTAGTAAACAAACTGCAACTTACAAGCTTGTTATCTGACTCTGTCCAGTCAACAGTGAATGCTTTCTTTTAGCCAACTCAAAACCGAATGGCAGTTTAAACAGAAAACACAGTAGTTCGCTGTAAATAGACATGGCAGGCCTATCCATGGCTGGCTACAAATTCCAGCACTGTTTTTAATAAAATACTATAGTCTTACTTGGTACTGTTCATATTTACACTTCACTTAAAGCCCTGCATCTTGACACATACCCTGTTTGCTTCTAACACTTGCAGGAGCAGGTAAACAAACCATGCAGTAATAGCTTATCACTGGGCATGAAACCAGCATTGTAATTTATTGGTCTCTTAGGCAAGGACTGAAACATCAGCCCTCTCGTATCTCTCAAGTAAAACAGGGAGCTGGAATGAGCCATAAAACTGAGAGGGGAAGCAGATTATTATTATTATTATTATTATTATTATTATTATTATTATTATTATATTTCTTACCCGCCTCTCCTCATCACTCGAGGTGGGTTACAACAGTGCTAAAACACATAATCAAAACACATAATCATTTAAAAATACTCCATAGAATACAAATATTAAAACATATTTCCATACGATACATATTAAAATACACAAGTTAGACATAAAGTAGAAGTTTAAAATTTGTCATTAGAACTATCTGGGTAGGCCTGCCGGAAGAGATAGGTCTTCACTTCTATCTTGAATTCTGACAACTGATGTAGCTGCCAGAACTCTACTGGCAGGTTGTTCGATAGTTGTGGGGCGGCCAATGGAAAGGTTCTTTGGGTGATGGTTACCAGTAGAGTTCTGGCAGGCTGGAGTAGATGCCCTCCACAGGACCTGTGTTCAGGGCAAATTGTACAGGAGAAGGCAATCCCGTAGGTAACCTGGACCCATGTAGGGCTTTAAAGGTCAATAGTAACACCTTATACTTTGCCCCGAAACTAATTGGCAGTCAGCAAAGTGACTTTAGGATAGGTATAATATGCCAACTCCTAGAAGTTTCTGTAACCAATCTGGCTGCTGTATTTTGAAACAGCTCAAGTTTCCAAACTTGGTACAAAGGTAACCCAATGTAAAGCACATTGCAGAAGTCCAACCTCAAGTTTATCAGTACATGCACTACCATCTTCAGATCCTCTAAATCTAGGAAGAGGCGAAGTTGGCGGTAAGGACTCTTGACTGTCACGTTTACCTGGGCTGACATTTGGAGAGACAGATCCAGTAACACTTCCAAACTGTGAACACAGTCTTTCTGGGGTAATGTAATCCCATCCAGGATTGGTTGACTTGTTGACTTATCTTCACCCCCAGATTAGGACCCTCGATGGCAAGCAGCTCTGTTTTTGTCTGGATTCAGTTTCAATTTGTTTTTTGTTTTTTTTTCCTCATCCATCCCATTACTTCCTCCAGGCATTCATTCAGAGGAGACACACCAACCTTAGCTGAAGCTGTTTTTGAACAGTAACTTTGGCCAAAGGATCTATGAAGTTCCAGCTCAGCGTTCAGTCCAGCATACTCACAGCTCTAGGTAAGATAAAGCATATTTCAAGTGTCCTTATTTTATAGAACTTCAAAAGTTACAGTGGCAATGACAAAATGTACATGAGCAATATCTAAAACATATGTGGTAAATCCACACCTGAGGTCTAGAACAGAATAGAATATAGTCAGAGCTTGTTTGTTGATAAGGAGTATGACACTATATGTAGCCAGAACTTCTGGTTGTTGGCCTTGGACACACAATATTGCATTTACAACATTTCTAGCAAGCAATACAGGCCATGAGATGATGTCAGCTATTGTCAAAATGGAGGTGATCTGGCTCACTAAATGGATCACCATACAATTCTTATTTTGCAACAACAGATATGTATAAACCAGGATATAAAATCCAGCAATAACCCCCATTTTTAAAGTTTTCACAACCCTGATTGGCCTGGGCACAATGAAGTATAGTACAAGGTATGAGAGCAATGCTAATCAATCAATGCCTGTTTGTTGATTTATTAACGAGAACATGAATACCAGAGAAAAAGGAACTGGCTACATGCCCACCAAGGTTTAATGAGCCAGGATTACTGGTTTGAAGTGACAATCCAGCACATACAGAAGCATCATGACTATTTCCATTATTTCAAATTTATTTCTCAAAGCAACATATAAAAGAGTCATAGTTGCTCACTCTGAATTTCATATTTCATGTACTACAGAAAGTAGAACATTTGCATTAATTAAAAATAAGATTCTCAACTCTTTGGCAGCTTGTTCCTTGAACATATGCAAAGAATTTGAAACATTCTTCCATTTATTTTACCTGATATTTAAGACAGAGACATTCAAGACATATGAAAAGAAAGAGAAGTCAGTTTCTCTATTGTACAAATATGCTGGAGTACTATGTTTGGCAGACTCCTAGTTTGGACCAAAAATGCACGAATTCTGTGGCACTTTAAAAATACTTTCCCATGTCACTGGTTTCGTAATCCAGACTAAACTCGAATCTAAAAGGTCTGCAACAACATAAATTATAGTAATATTGCTTCAACTAGCTGTTAAAAAATCACTGAGCCACGAAAAACATTATATAAACTCCACTTCCCTCTACAGACACACACTCCTGAAATAAATTCTTTGAAAAATAGAAGACAGCATCCTCCACTCACACTCTGAAATTTACCAGACCTTCATATTTCAGGTAAGGACTCACAAATACTATTCAAATGTTATACAAAACATGCAGCTAGCCAATGGAAGAGGTATAAGGACCTCCGAGAAGTAGCGCTTACATCTTGTTTTTCAAAAATATGTTTATAAGATTTTTTTTCTGGAAATATTGTGAGAAATTACTCTTTCATTTGGAACATACTTTCTTTCCTCTCTGCTGCCCTTGTTGCTAAAATCTTACTCTAGTAATTCACAATTGCCCCATGCCCAAAGGAATGTGGTGGCAATTGAACGAAGGGTAAAATATAATGGTCAGAGAATTACAGCCTTCAACGTAGAATATTCTTGACTTCAGATGCTGACTAGTAACTTATTAGGCTCAGCATTAAATATCAGATTTCAACTAGTTAAATTTCACCTTATGACATACAGATGTTTGTACACAGTAAGGTTAACTGCACAATTCTCTGGAACTGATTTAAAGTGTTGACTCGATCTCTCTTTTTACAGTACAAAACCAAAGCATCTCAGCAGCAAGTCAAGCAATTAGGAGGCGTCCTAGCCAGCCCACTAGCCAATTTATTGCTTTTTGTAACAGGCAGTGAGTTCTTCTCATTACGTTCCAAATAAGATGGACACAGCTAACTGAATTTACAGTAAACCCAGGTGGTAATAGTGGCAAGGAAGACTATTTCATTCTCTGTAGAAATCAACAGATCTGTCTCCAACATCAGTCAGTGGATTAAACTTTAAATAACTTCAAGGACTGATAAGCAGTGTTACTTTCCAGCATCCCTCAGCTATTTGCATAATTTAACTGGAAGAGGCTAAGATATATCAATCTGGAAAAACAAATTGATGATTATAGCATGATCTGATTTCTCTGTTCCTAGATCAATTTGGACAGTCAAATTTTAATTTATCTGGACTGAATACCACACCAGACCTCTGTAGGCAGAATAACAGAATCTAGGTGCATCAGAGATAATCTCCCTGTTCTGCTGCTTCCACCACCTGTACATAACAAAAAACCGTTCCAAAGGGTTGGAGAACTCCTCCAGAGCCAGTTTTCGGGCCTCTTCAAGGGCTGCAGAAAGAAGGGGAAGGAAAGGAAGTACATTAAGGTAGCACTGCGCTATTAGAGGCACTGCAGATTTAGGTGTCTCTGTTTGAGGATCTGTTATGTTGACATAAGGTGCTAACAAACATACCATATAAACAAGAGTTTTTGGGTTTTGTCCTATGAAGGCAAATTGATCCAAGAAAAAGTATGCTTCTGCAAGTCTATGCTATGGTCAAATTGCACATACATATTGAGGTCTCCATACTGCAGTCACAATTCTTTGCTTTCTGTCCATTTTGCTATTTTCTGCATAAAGTCAGTATATATGTCTTCACTTTGAAAATTCTTTGCCCGCTATATTTGCAGGCATCTTCTCTTTTTTCATAAAAGAAAGATTCACTTTGGTGTTGTCATGACCACGAAGAGTGACATTTGCAGCTTTCTCATCTTCCGATTCTTGAAGGAGTTGCTGCGCAGTCAGTTTAAAAATAAGACGTGGATCCTGACCAGACAACTTAGGGCAATTGCAATGTTCCCTTATTTTAATGGCCTGGAAGGGAGGAAAAGACAAACAAAACGTCAGAGAACTGCCAAAGAGACAAATAACCGATTTCTAAAATGGAATATATACACTTCTAAACTATACTGTTGCCAAAAAAAGCAAAAGAAAAGCATTAGGAAAGTGTTATGAAAACAATCAGTTGATGAAGATCTTAATGATAATAAGTATTCCCACTGAATAGGTAGGATTTGTATATTTACGGTTGCATTTTTTTAAAAAAATGAACCTGGGTCTTTAAAATTATTGAGAATGTGTGTACAGAAGTAGAAGTTGCTTCAGCAGTAAACAAGACATTAGTATATAAAGGGTTTAAGTGTCAGAGATATCTATCAGAAGCAGAAGAATAATCTCCTTTAGATAAGATTCACAGCTGGTATTAACTGACAATAATTTTATCATTAGACTGTAATGCAATATGTTTGCAGCCTTCCATGAGTGAAACAAAATGCCCCCAACCACCTTTCCCCATAGTAGGACTTCATGCTAGGATATTTCATAGCCCTATGAACACACTTTAAAGCACAAGGTGCTGGGGGTGGGAAGGAGAAGCACTGCTTCTTATTCCACTGATGGAATTTGCTCTGTCACAGCAAAATAAAACCAGACAAAACCAAGCCAAGCTTGTTTCACAACTAGGATATTTACTCCGTGTTGCCTGAGCTCTTGAAAGTGACTTTATTAATGACTTTAAGGAAACAAAACTTTGACTGGTAGCACCTTTGATCCTTAAAAATTGTTTCACATCTGGGAAATAGACCTAAACTAAAATTTTGCAAAAGAAACTAAATTTTTACTGCCAACCTTGATCTTGCATGAAAATGTTTGGGATGTCAGCTTTTGTCTAAATAGTAAGTTGGGTCAAAATTGGTTCCTATACATACAGACTTCTCAAACTTGGTGATATTTGAGGGGGCGGCATTTTTTCTTCTTCTAATGCAACAGGGATGGATGCCGTATTTGTGCTCATTACCTACAATTGTTTCTTTTATTTCTGGAAGCCCATCAGGAACCAGCAGCCAATAGCTCTGGGACTGGCACCAGTCCAGAGATGACTACTTTGAGTAGCATTGGTATAGAACAGAAAATAAAAATGTAGAAAACATAAGTGCTTGTTTGGAAGGTATCCAAAGATGATGACAAGTTCAGCCCAAAGCCTTACATCAGTCTTCATTTTGCTCCTACTAGATATATCCTGTATGAAGAATGGTGTTCAAGCATAAGATGAAAATCTTACATTATAGTAGAGACTTATACATTTAAATTTAAAAATTAGAGAATGCACATGGATGAGTGATCTGGAAATAGTCTACAATAAAGAATCACAAGATTTTTATAATCTTGTACCTGGATCTTCCGCAATAATTATTTCACATGACTGAACTGTGGTACTGTATATACGTTTCTTGATAAGAAAAAACCCAGTACACAGGTTACAATGAGTCCATGGATATATTTTGTGTCAGGAGTGACTTGAAAAACTGCAAGTCGCTTCTGGTGTGAGATAATCGGCCATCTACAATAATGTTGTCCAAGGGACGCCCAGATGTTTTGATGTTTTATCTTCTTTGTGGGAGGCTTATCTCAAGTCCCCGCATGGGGAGCTGGAGCTGATAGAGGGAACTCCTCCATGCTCTCCCAGGATTTGAACCTCCCACATGTCAGTCTTCAGTCCTGCCAGCACAAGGGTTTAACCCACTGAGCCACTGGGGATTCCATGGACTTATATGAAGACATATAACCAAAAACTAAAATAAGTTTCCAATCCTATTCACATCCAGGGCCGTAGCCAGAAAAAAATTTCAGGGAGGGTTCAAAGTTTCGGGAAGGGGGGTGTTGAAACCTGCCTCTTAGCTCACGCTGAAGCAAAGAGCACAGCAGGAGCAGAGCAGCCTTCATTCGCCTGCAGCTCCACCCGTCAACCACTTCCACCAAGTCTGGCCTCCTTAATGAGAGCATTCAACACCACCCCCAACTTGATTGCTTCGCTACATCGGCTATTGCTGCAAGTGATGACAGTGTAAATAAATTGTCAATATTTGCTTGAGATAGTGCTTGCAGTTCTGGAGGGACTCTTAATTTTTTGCGTCTCATAGACTTAGCATGGGGATTTGGTTAACCAGTTAAAATTCATGAGTAACCTGAAAAATTTCGGCGGGGGGTGGAACCCCTAACCCCCCCCCCTCCACTACAGGCCTGTTCACATCCATGTGGATTCAATATCAGTGTTGGAAAAGTAGCTTTCATCCACACTGTACAATTTTGATATTTCAAGTAGATACAATTAAGATCCACCCCCTACTCTCCTTTGTTCTTGCTTTTTCAATTGAACAGTTGATGGTTAATAGATTTACAGATAGCTTATTCCTTACATTTTACTAAAAACCTTGACTATGCTTGACATACTACCTATTTACAAGTAATAATCTTGCTTTCAAATCACTATACTGTAACAGTTTGTATTGTATAACTACAGAATATGAGATACAACATCTTCTACTACAGAATATGGTTCAGTGCATCTGTTTGCTGGGAAGAGTGTTTGTGTTTCTACGTGCCTTCAAGTCACCTGTCAACCTATGTTGATCCCATGCATTTCATATTTTCTTAGGCAAGGAATACTTAGAGGTGAGGCACAAAGTAAATAATCTTCTTCAAGTTTTATTTGGAGTGTTTTATATGAGCACAAATACCTTGTAGGCAGAAAAACATATGCCACACATAGCTTAATAGAAAGAAAAAAATAAATTTGAAGTATGGTGAAGCCATGTTACTTCAAAGGAAAATCTCCCTATCTTTTCTAGTACACTAAAATAAGCCATTTTCTGGAATGGACCAAGTCAAAGGGTGGGGGGAAGTCACCAACAACTTTTTTTTTTAGGATGGAGGATTAAAGAAGCATTTTCTTATCCATGCTTGATACATTTCTGTTGCAATGAAATATCTAAACTTTCAGAGAGAGAAACAGTGTTAAAAGTTCCATGTGCCTCCTCTAGTATAATTATTTTTTAATCATGCTTCAGTCTTTCTGTGTACTTAAAAAACCCTGCAGTTTAATTATGGTTATTTCAATACTGCTCATAAAAATACACCAGAGGTGTATATAAAGCCATTTTCATTTTAGCAACCAATCAATGCCTAAGCAGGTATTTACAGTGACAAGAGTTTTCTCTTGTTCTCTCCCTGAGCATAAGCCAGTAAAAGACATTGCATTAACGTCAAAGAGTATTATGCAAGCCAAGTAGACATATAAAGATTTCATTTGTATCTTGGAAAGAGAACATGTAATCCTCTTTTAAACTAATTTGGCATTTTTAAATCTCTGGTCTTTTTGACTATATAGTGCCTATCTTCCTCTCCTCTGGTTTCACTTATCTAAAATAGTAGTGGCACCTCCACCAACAAAAAAATTAATCCATCAAGGGCCATGCGATAGCTCAGAGGAACATTTCTATCCTGTGGAGTTTTCTGCTTACTAAGTCTACATCAAGCCGCTTGAAAGAACATGAAGTGCCTGATTACACACCACACTGATTTATACACCATTATATACAAAATGGGGATCACAGAAATTATAGATTGGGCTACACTGCTTTAACCATATGCCAGTCAAAATTATATTTTGCAGCAATTTTTCCTATTGTTATGCGAAAGATTAATTTCAATAAAGATGAGCCATTTCCTAGTTTTAGTGGTTTTATTTAATGGTCATAATATCCAAACCATTGCTTTTCTATTAGTAGGCCAAGACTGTGCTATAACTTTATGTAACAAAATTTGAAAAAAATCTGTTCCTGGTTTGAAAGTGTTATTCCTGTGTAATTGTGCAGTATTTACTTTTAAAGTAGTTACTATACTCCAGAAACTTTGTTTTTGTGGCTGCCACAAACTATGTTGAATTGGTTGAGATTCAATAAGATATTCATTAAAAAACTATAGCAAAAGTTTTTGCAGTTTAATGATCTCCTTCCATATTTTCATGACAGAATCAATTGGGAAATGACAATTATAACCCAAGAACAAAAAAAAATATGTATTACATTGTGTAATTTGTGTTGAGTTGTTGCAACAGTGCTACCACTGTACACAAAAATGGTTAGCTCAATGATGGTTAGGAGTGCAACTAATGAAATGGGTTCCCAAGTATATGTTTGGATTGTAAGTCCCAGATATGAAACAGATGAAGACTATTCATAAAATCATAGAATTAGAAGGGACCACAGAGACCATCTACTCCACATTCCTGCTACACAAGAATATACAACTAAAAGATTTCTGAAAATGCCAATCCAACCTGTTTAAAAACCTACAAAGACAAGAGAGTTCATCACCACCTACATAGTCCATTCTATTTTCCAACAGCTCTTATTATCATAGACTTTCCATATTTACAAAGACATTACTACCATAGTGATAGTTATAAGAAGATATATTTTCACTCTTGCTTTGGCTACAATCATAAATATTTTGGGCCTGATATTAATAATGACAAAATGATGGTATCATACCAGTTCAGTTCTTGTTTTTGAGATGCCTTCATATTATATAGACAATTACTAAAGTGAATGTAATATAACTAGGTGTGAAAATACATTACCCTTTTCACATCTGCCTGCCAGTAATCATCAGTACTCTGAATTTTCTGCTCATTAGTAAGTATATTCTTGTGGATTATTATTCTGTACTTGTACATCATCCTGCTTTACATATTCATCTCAGCTTGCGTGATTTAGCATTAGATTTAGAGAAGGGTAGTACAGTTTGAAACCCTTTGAATCACTTTTTGTGTGCCTTCAAGTCATTTCTGACTTATGGTAACCCTAAGGAGGAAAGATTTCTTCAGAGGAAGTTTGTATTTGCTTTTTTGTGAGTGTTTAAATTTGATTTTCAGATTCACTTTTCCCCATGGTATATGTGCTTCCATTCACAGGACTGATCATTATGAGATGATCTTGATTTCGTTTACCTATGTTAGAGTTTTAGAATGCAAA